ACTGCCAGAAAAGTTAGCACCCTTTTTTACTTTTTTTTCTCTCAGAGAAGAACGTAATTTAAAGTGCCTTTTACACTTTAAGAATGGAGGGGAAAACCCCCTCTTGCTTGTCGATTTCGGCGCTGGGCCCCACGACATTATATTCGTATTCTACAAATTTAATTTAGTCAGGCCCCTTTCAGTCCTTTTTACGCCTTTACAAAAATTATTTTGGGCCAAGGAGTCTTTCCCCCAGCTGGTTTTGGGAAAACCGCCTTTTTTTTCCCTTTTGCAAACCAGGGGACTACGGGACATTTAAAAACCCCCCACTATTGTCCCCTTGCTCTTACCAGTTTCAGTTTGCCAAAATAATTTGGAAAAGTTGTAAAAAAGACGTTTAGTGTGGTTTTTAGAGACCCCACAAAAAGTCCCCCTCCACCCCGTCAATATGGGTTTCGAAGGGGGCGTTTACCCCTAGGCCCCCCTTTCTGCGCTTGGGGTAGTATGTTTGTAATGCCTTTGCGGGAAAAAACCCCTCCCGTTTTTTGCCAAAATTTTTTGACCTTGAGAAAAGGATATACACAAAATTGGAGGTATAATATTTTAAACCCCAAACCACCCTTAGGTTTTGAGGCAATTACCCCCTTCCCTTTAAAGAATTTTTTAATGACGGGTTTTTCCCGTTTTGGGTTAAATAATGTGCCTCCCGGATTTGTAAAGCTGAAGGTGCCCCCCGGGATGTGTTCTGGCACAACTTTTTTTCCCCTTGTTTAATGATTTTTGGCCTCTGTCTTCCATAAAATTTTTGGTCATCACCTATGTTGATGATTCGTATCCCTGTCAGGGTGACTGTCATCCTTACGTTTTCTCCAGCATGCAGTCGAGTGTTTCCAATTGGGCCCCCACACGGGGTTTAAAAATTTTTCCACCCAAAAAAACCCACCAAATCACTTTCATAGACGTTTGTCTCTCTGATCACCCTTTGTCCTCTATGGCTCCTTTTCCTAAAAGGAAAAGTCAATTTTTGGGCCCTCCTCTTTGTGTAGGTTATCCGGAAAACCTACATTACCTCTTGAAGGCAACTTGTCACAGCCGGTGAACCTTCTTAAAACCCTTGCCTTTGGGGGGAGTGATCGTCGAACCCCCTTCACCACATTCCCCCCTTATTTTATCGAAACTTGATTATGGTGACCGATCTATTCAGGGGGGGCACTCTGCTACTCTCTTAGCCAAACCCCCATTATCCCAAGGATTACGTTTATGCCTTGGTGCTTTTCGCTTTTCCCCCTGTCGAAAGCTCTATGAGAACGAACGTTCCTCCTTTCGTCGCCGTGATCCCCCATTGCCTGCGCTAATGTACGCTTCATGATCTCCGCAATCCTTTCCATTTATAAATGGTCCTGAAATAGTAGACATTTTTTTTTTGTTCGCCGCCCTGTTTATCCGTCCCTTCTCTCTTCGCCTTCATTCGCTCTTGTCTTCTCTTAACTACCACCTTTCTATGTACATGTAGCTCTCATTTTCCCCCCCCCCGGGGAAATTCCGCTGTTCGAGTCTGTTTTTTCCCCCCCTTGTCGAACCCCAACTGTTAGGTCGCTTCCCGCTCTTTTTCTTGCCCACTTTCACTCTCATTCTCTGCCATTGCGGGTCACAGATGGCTTGGGGTTTCTGACGGCGTGGATTCGAAAGCATGTTTCGGACAGGTCGTAAAGGGCATTTACTTCTTCAGCTAGTTTTTTACTGCTGAATTATATGCCATCCTTACAGCATTATCCGTATTGCTTCTATGCCTGTTATTTTTTTGTGGTTGTCTCAACCCCCTTAGTGTTTTCGGGTATAAAAAAAAATTTGATACACTCACCCCTTATCCTCGTATCCAACTTTGGCTCCCCGCTTTTTTACTAAAAAGATATTGTTTTTGTTGGGTCCCTGGTTGTTGCGTACAGGGCTGAAAGGGCGACACTGCTGCGCGTTAGCAGTAATGACCTACCAGTTTCTTATGAGGTATTCCATGTACGGACTATTTTGCTGAAATATCTTCCCCCCTTTTCACACCGTTGGCAACAACGTTGGTTTTCTTGTCGGGAAAAACTTCAGTTATTAAACGGTTTAGGTTATGGCCCCCTTTTTTATCACCGTGTCGAGGTTGGGGGACTACCTTTTCCCGCTTCGCTTTTGGGCCCTATCGTCTTACTCGGATATCTCAGGAGGAGGCGTCTTGCTCTCTCTGTGAGAATTGCAAGTCCATTATCAGTCAGCACATTTGTTGGACTGCCCACTTTATAACGAGCACGCAGAATTTACCTTGTGTCGTCTTGCCCGCGCTTCTTTTTACCCTTTCCCCTTTTCCCCTGAAGGACCCCCCTTTCATCCGGGGGCTCTCTCATTGATTTTTGACAAGAGATTACTTCACAAATTTTTATTTTTCAGCCCCTTTTTCTTGTACTCTTGCTACCCCTTTTCCCCCCTCTACCCCTGCCCCGCTGTTTTCTGTAAACCCGCTGATCTCCCCCTCCCTTCTGCCATCAATTTCCCCTTGCTTCCTTCCCCCCTGCAGGCTGTATAGCCCCTTTTGGCTTAGCGCTTTTTTTTGATTATAATAAATAATACCTAAAAATTGAGGTTAAAAAAAGGGCCCGACTTGCTCCCCCCCTTTTCCCTGTCCCCAAGATATATTAAGCTAGTGATTTCTCCTCTTGGTTCCCCCCTTTCATTCAGCAATTTAAATTTTTTCCTTTTTGCCTTATTTTCGTTTTTAGTTCCTAAAAACCCCCCATCCCTTTTTCATCTTTCAATGGGGAACCCAAGGGGGGAAAAAAAATTCACCCATTATTACAAAAAAGAATTTTTTTTTAAACATTTCTATGCAAATCCCGGTTTTTTAAGTTTTTTAAAAGGTAATTCCTTTTGGATGTAAAATAAATTTCTATTAATTTTTTTAAGGTGGGAAAAGGGTTTTAATAGGGCCCCCAAAAGGTTAACCTTTCCCCTATCACCTTTGAAAAACCAGGGGCAAAGTTAGATTACGCCTGCTGGCCCCCATAACCAAAGGGGGTGTTTGGGGCCAGTCCGAAATCTTGGTTTTTACCAATGGAACAAATTCCCCTGTATTGAAAGAAAATGTACCAATTTTTAAAAAAAATATTTTTTTATTTTTTTAAGTTGATTTCCCATTTTTGCTCTTTTAGGTAATACAGAAGTTGATTAATTGGTTTTAGTACTAAAAGGGCCCAATGGGCTAAGGAAAAAAGCATTTTCCGATTGTTCAGAAAACAAATTACCAAATTTAGGTATGGTGGGGAATTTACTTTTGATTGAATATTTAATAAATTACAACATTGCATAACAGTAAATTTTTTTTTTCTTTTAATTTTGAATCAAAATGGAATGCCTGCATTGTTTACTGTAGATCCTGTTTTGAAATGGAAATATTTTGAACTGTTAAATTGGTAAAATTACCAATTTCCAATCACTTTATTGGGTAGTTAAAACAGTTGACTTTGTGATTTCTCGTGCTCAGTCGATAAAATAGTAGTACTAGTGAAATAGCTAAGAATTTGGGCAACTGGAATAATGTAATTGGCCTAAAATAAGTCGGTCGGCAAAATCGCCGCTGCGTAAATATCAGTGATGCATCAAAATTTGCAAGAGCATAATTTCGTCAATTTTCCATCAAATTTCATACTTTCTGCTTTATTACCTTCAGAAAGATTCTATTATTTCATAAGAAAATAATAAAAAAATTTTTTTGAAAATTCTTAGACCCTGACTGTCAGATTTGGCCTCTGGACCCTGAAAGGGTTAATTAACAGAGGAAAGGTTTGTGGCAGAAATGTTTTTTTTTTTTTTTTTCTAAATTGCCAACTTTTGTGCACTTTATAGGGTAGTTGTAATAGATGAATGGATGGTTTATACTTGGTAGATAGAGAAGGCATACTAGTGAAATACCAAAGTAGTATTTGGTAGTGGAGCAAAGGAATTTACTTAAAATAGGACCTTGGGCAAAATTGTTGATACATAAATTGTACCCAGACAATTTGTGCTTGTGTAACTAGTTTTCCCTATAATTTAATTGTATACTTTTGGTGTCATTACCTTCAGAAAAATTTTCCGATTTTTTCAAAAGGAGACATGGCACTTTTAATTTTTGAGGGCGTGGACAATGAAAATGTTAAGGGACGTGCCAAGATTGCAATAGTTTACTAGACTAAATTTTATTTAGTTTATCAGTAGTGGAACCTGTGCTTAAGAGTGCCCCACCATGCTAGTTTTTCAGGATGTAAGCCATCACTATCAATTTTTTGCTCATGGATAAGAGCCAAAATTCAGGTTGAGCTTCCCCCTCATGGGAGGTTCCTTGATGCTGGTAAGGGGCTCTTTGATTTGGGGAATTGTATCTGCTCCAATTCCCTAAATTAAGCCTGAATACCTTCCATCCCCTCTCCCCCACAGGCACTGTATAATGCTGCAGATTTAGCGCTTCCCCATTATAATACACGTTTATAATATAGAACGCTGCCACTAGATAGCACAGTGAATACCACAACAGCTCTTGCCATCACCAGTGCCCATGCTTACCTCAGTGGAAAGATTTCTTACGTTTTGCAGTTATTTTGCCAAACTTCTGACCATGGGTCCTAAGAAAGTAAGTGCAAAGGACAAGCATGAAATCATAAACACAAGTGAGGTGTACAGGTTGTGGACTTCGTCAATGCATGTATTTTGTCCTGCCTCCTGAGAGCAGGAATTTCGCTGGAACAGATTAATGGCATTTCAGTTAGCGAGGAAAATTGACTGGATACGAACAGATAGGTTACGAGCTAGGTCATGGAACGAATTAAACTTGTAAGCAGAGGTTTCGCTGGATTAAACTGACCATGAGTAAATTAAGGATACCCTGTGGCACTTAATTTGGTTAAGCCTATAAATTTAAAATTATTGAGAAGGATTAGTCTTGGAAGTTTCAACATATTACTCTTGGTTTAGATTGGTTGAACATGCTAGTTTTGTTTAATTTACAGGTAATCCGATGCAAGAAAGGAAAGGCCGGAATGCACTCAATGAAGACGTTGCAAGCAGTGTTGGTAGCGGTGTTTGAAGAGCCCATTCAACATCCTCAGGTGGCATCTATTGTAGAGTCACTAGGGGATTACTTAATTTCCTTGTCTTACTGAGGTAAGATACTAAACAGAAGTAACATCACTAGCACTTCACCTTTTCTGTAGCTCTAAATATAAGAGTATAGGTTGTACTGGTATTTAAAATCTGATGCACCATGTAGTTACTTGCTTGGGGTACAGTCTGGTAAGTTTAATCTTGATAGGAAAATATCTTTGTAGAATGTGAAGCACTTTATTTGTTAGGTAATATAAAGGTGATAGTGATCAGGCTTTGCCTATAAGGAATTTGAGCTTGAGTGACTTGATGAATTAGTCTATTGGTGTCATTTTATGCTAAACTCTTGATGGAACACTTAAATTTGCCTTACTGCAAAAGTTTTTAAATGGGCAGTTAATGTACCAAAAAGCATGAATACCATTAAGGTGAATAAGAGGCTCGGATTTTTTCTATAGAGTAATTGAAATTAGTACTATTTCTCAGGGTAAGTAAATCTGATATTGAGGCAGTAATGAAATCTTCCCTTGGAGGAAAGGGGTGCCTTAATGCTGAAGGGGTCTTGATCAAAAGAATTGGAATCTACTCCACCTTGTATTAAACATTCCTCTCAGTTCTTGGGTGCTGTGTGAACCACAAAGGCTTGAAGCTGTTTGCTTTTGAAAGCAGTACACTTGAAAAGGAAAGTGGGTATATTTAAGAAACTGTTCAAGGTAATTTTTTTGTGGAATGGTTGTTAGTGAAGACTAAATCTTTAGTTGGTTTGTATACTAATTGATGTAAATTAACTTGCCTGGAGTCTACCTGGAGTGTTCAGAGGGTCAACTCCCTTGTGGCCTGATCCCTGGCCAGGCCTCCTGGTGACAATGGCTAGCAGCATGAAGTCCAACACACCCTGACAGCCCAGCTGATAAGGCACTGATCTGCAAAACTTGTCCAGTTCCTTACTGAGGGCAGCCAAGGGTCTGTTGGTAATCTCCCATGGAAAGATTTTTAAAATTTTGGGACCAATCCTGCTAGAATTTTCCAGGTGTAGATTGTGCTTCTTGCCTTGGTTCATAGTAGTACAGATCTTGGCCTTATTACTAGCATTTGGGCACTGCCTTTGCTTTGGATTTGTTACTTTTCACGTGCAGTATAAATCTGCTTTATAAATTTATGCAATCTCCCTCTTCATCTTAGCCTAAGACAGGTCTGGTAATTACCTTTTGAGAGGAGGAAAGTTAGGTCCAAAGTAATTTAAGGAAAAAACACAAGGAGTTTCTGGTTTTTGTTGTAGAAAGTTTTACCCAAATTAACTTTGAAGTATGGATATATAAGGAGGGGTTCAAAGTGACCCAAGTAGATAGCTTGGTGTGGTAAAAATAGTTAGGCATAAGTCTTAAAGTTCATTATTAGGAAAAATGAAAGTGCTCTGCATTTTTAAAATGCAAAAATTGGTGATTGGACCACTTGAATTACTCCCATTATGGGTGGGGGGGGGGGGTGTACATTCCTAGCAAGACCAGATACTCAAGACTAGTACAAAGGATATCCCAAAAAGGGAAGTGACAGCACTATGGATTGGAGGATACAGTAATTGTGGCAAGGAAGGTAATTTGTAGACATGAAGCATGTTCTACAAACTTTTAGACATCGTATTCTTGGAGTGGTGAACTTGCTGGATTAATGTCAGGTACTTCTGTGGCTGAAGAGATGTCTGTCGAGAGACAAGGTATATAATATCTAAAGATATGAATTCCTAGTCTGAAAAAAAAAAAAACTTAGTTTTTGCCCTTATATATATAGACTATTGAAAATAAAGCATTTTAAGCATTTTCGCAAAAATTAGTTAATGCCCAATTTCTTAAATGTAGTATGGAAAGTAGTAACATGATAGATTAGTAGCTGCAAGTGCCTGCATTTGCATATTTAACTTAGAAAAATTTCTTTGAACTAGAGCTAATTCTTTTTTCTTTTTTTTTTTTTTAATTCCAGTGACTGTGGATCATCTAAATATCGCCATTTCTTCACTTGGAAATTCATGGCAGTGGATGACATGTGATATACCAGTGTTGACCAGTGGAATTATGACTGTGACATGAACCAGACATGTTCCATCTTAATAAACTCTGCTACTCTGAACAAATGCAAACAGAAAGAGAAAAGTGTGTAAGCCCTTGGATTTTGGATAACAGCTACTGTTTGGGAGAGGCTTGCCTGTGTCACCCGTGTTGATGTATGTTTGTGTATTTCAGACTTTGGCAAGGGCTCTATGAAGTGGATATACTTTAAAGTTTAAACACTTTTGTATAATAAATTTTTTCCATGAACATATTGAAGCTTTCTTGTGAATTAACTTGCACTCTTTATAAGTGATGATTTTTCAGCTAATAGTGAAGTGGCTAGCCTGTGTAACTGCAAGCCTTTAGTGGTGGGGAAGGGGTTGACTCAAGTTCTCATCCTTGTGACTCCTTTTTTTTATACCCTTTAAAAGCTCTCCCATTACAACCTTCCTCCTGAACCGCATCTCATTCTTGATCTTCTCGATTCCTCCCACACTCAAACACCTGAGTGTCTAGTCTCTGCTAGCCACTGATTCTTGTTTTATCTAGTTTATTTAATTTGTTCCTTAAAGTTTTCCACTGTAAACTGGAAACTAATTTATGGGACATGCATTCCTTATTTCAACTGGTATCTTGTGTTGATATCCAACGAACTATATTTTCTAGTAAGAAAAACTACTCTAGCCTGTTACTGATTATTGGGTCCTATTATCTATTGCTGTGCATTTGCTCAGTTTAAGTTTTGTTAATGCCATTTTTTCATTTGGGGTTGGGGGGTAATTGATTTAACTCCCAAAGATTTTGAGGGAGACATTTCTAACTTTTTTTGAAGTTTTGTGGGGGGTGGGGGGGGAGTTAGTCATCAATTCACGAAGGTTGGCAATTATGAACTAGAGGTAAGAAGTTCAATGTGGTCATATTCATGTTCAAAATACATCTAGTTCAGAATTGCTGGTTGTCATTTTTTAACTTTAAGGTTCCAGTGCAGCATTGGCCTTACAAGGTCACTGTTGTGGTTATCAGAGGCACAAAATTGGCCCATGTGCCCAGGCTTGGTGTTCTGCTGTGCTGGTAGTCGTACTGCTGGCGCTCAGTATTGTACAGCTTCCATTGCCCCCCAATAAACACTACTTAATAGTTGATTTTTGTTACTAGCCTTTTCATGTGCAGATGTTTGTGCACAAATGTCTTAACTAGTTTATACGGTGCCATCACTTAAGGAAATTAGTAAATTGGCAAGTGGATAGTTTCAATAAAGATGTTTAATAGGTTTAGTGTGAATTGGTAAATACAGTAGACCATCGATTAAGACTTAAGTTCCTGAAAATGCAGTGTTAGACGAATCAGTGTTAAAGGAACTGAAGAACTTGTGGGAAAAATAGGGTTACGTTCCTGGGATCCCCCCAGGAACATAACCCTATTTTTTTTTTCTCCAAATCTTGCAAAATTAAAAATTGTTCATTGTTAGTGAGTGTTTGTCACTTAACCTTTGAGGGTCCATCCCATAGTCACAAGCTCTGCTCACTCGGATAAGCAGAGTGGTTAATTTGAGCCTAGAGAATGCATGCATGTAGCAAGTGTGCACCATACAAAACAAATCCTGCAGCATGCAGTGCATAGTTTTTTTTATTAAAACTGCTACTTTGCAGTGTATTTTTGTATGGTTGTATTTGCAGCTTCTTGGTCTTGTTTGATAGAATGGAAGATGTTAGACATAATGAACATAGCTTGAAATTGAGCTCAAAGTAGCCAGCATCTATTCTGGACCCTATTTTGAAACTAATACAATGGACCCTCCCCTAACGAACTCATCACATAATGTTAAATCCGCCTAACTAAGTGTTTGAGCGCAAAAATTTTGGCCTGCCTAACGATTAAAAACTCTCCCAACATGATTCGTCCCGAACCTGTCCTTCCAGCCTGAGTGCCTTGGCTGCCCTGCCATCATTGTTTGCAAGCTACGGTGGCCAGTTTCATGCATACATTAGATACATTTTGTATTCTTTTTTATAGTGCTTGTAACTGCTAAATAAGCCAAAGAAAGCTAGTGCCAACCCTGTGGTAAAAAGGGGCGAGAAATACTATCGTACCAGTCAGCTGCTGCGGCACCACAGTCGGCTGTTGCTGCACCGCCGTCGGATGTACTACTCGAAGATTTGGAGAGACTGTTGGCGTGGCTTAATGAGAAACGATAAACCCCAGAGGGTTAGCCACCCAGGATAACCCAAAGGAGTCATCGAGAACAGTAACTTGTTTCCATTGGGAGTTCTTAATCTTGTCCCCCGGGATGTGACCCCACACGAGTCTACTAACACCCAGGTGAACAGGAAAAAATGCCTGGAACTAGTGCTCATATTGGTGAATTTAGGGCCAGCAAAGGTTGGTTTGAGAGATTTAAGAATTGTAGTGGCATACAGCGTGATAGGCATGGCAAAGCTGAAAAATTCCAACACCTACAAGTGTTCAATTGTGACAAAACAGGCCTGTTCTGGAAGAAAATGCCAAACAGGACCTACATTACTTAGGAGGAAAAGGCACTCCCAGGACACAAGCCTATGAAATGCAGGCTAACTTGTCTTGTTGTAATGCTAGTGGGAATTGCAAAGTGAATTACTCGTGTATCACTGAAAATCAGTGTTCAAGAAAGTCTGTCACTCATCAATACTCTTCAATAAAAGTAAGTGTGTTTAACATTTATTTATATAGTTATTGTGCTTCTCATTGTTTTCTTTCTAGGGAAATGTATATTTCATGAAAAAAAAAAAATATTTAATAGCTTTGGCTCTGAAACAGATTAATTGGATTTCATTATTTCTCTTGGGGAAAATTTTGTCTAACGATGAGCTCTCAGGAACGGATTAACCCTTTCAGGAGTCCGTGCCGTAGATTTACGGTTTTACGTTCAGGATCCAAACCGTAGTTCTACGCCATGAGCTCGCTCGCTCTGATAAGCTGTGAGTGGTAAATTTTGGACCTAGATATGAGAGAATACATCTGTGGTATGTATGCACCACATAAAACAAATCCTGCAGCACAGTGTATAGTGAGTGATTTTCGATTAAAATAGCGAATTTGCAGTGTTTTTTCGTATGTTTTTTATAGTTGTATTTGCAATTTCTTGGTCTACTTTGATAGAATGGAAGACGTATTACAGAAATAGAGATGATTTTGATTGGTTTTAGCACTGGAAATGGCTTGAAACTGAGCTCAAAGCAGCGGAAATGTAAATTTTTGCCGATGTTCCGGAGTAAACAAACGACCTCGCAAGTCTAATACACGCCAGCTGGTGGGTCTAACATACATTCACAAATGTGGTGGTTTATAAAATTATTACAATATTGCATAACAGTAAGTGTTCTATTTTTTTGGTTTGAATAAAAATTCAGTGAATAAAAAATCAATGGAATTCATTTGTAAAGCCTCAAAATGTAACTAATGAACAGAGGAAATGTTAGTTTAGTGCCAGGAATACCTACGTAGTTTATTCTGGACCCTGTTTTGAAATTTGAATATTTTTAACTGTTAAATTGGCCAAATTACCAATTTCCAATCACTTTATTTTGTAGTTGAAACAGTTGACTTGATTTCTTGTGCTCAATCGATAGAATAGAAGTAATACTAGTGAAATAGCTAAGAATTTGGTAGACTGGAATAACGTAATTGGCCTAAAATAGTCAGTCGGCAAAATCGCCGACTTACAGTGGACCCCCGCATAACGATATTAATCCGTTCATGAGAGCTCGTTATGCAAAATTATCGTTATGCGAATGAATTTTCCCCATAAGAAATAATGGAAATCAAATTAATCTGTGCAAGACACCCAAAAGTGTGAAAAAAAAAATTTTTTACCACATGAAATATACATTTTCCTACAGTCACAATAGTAGAGTAGTACATGCACAGTATATATTGTGCATGTACTACTCTACTAAATGAAGAATAAATGACTTGCCTTTATTGAAGATGCAGCAATGACTGATGACACTGTCCTGGGAGTGCCTTTTCCTCCTGAGTACTGTAGGTCCTGTTTGGCATTTTCTTCCAGAACAGGCCTTATCACACTGTATGCCACTACGATTCTTAAATCTCTCAAACCAACCTATGCTGGCTTTAAATTCACCAATATGAGCACTAGTTCCAGGCGTTTTTCCCTGTTCACCTGGGTGTTAGTAGACTGGTGTGGGTTGCATCCTGGGAGACAAGATTAAGGACCCCCAATGGAAATAAGTTAGTCCTCGATGATGCACTGACTTTCTTGAGTTATCCTGGGTGGCTAACCCTCCGGGGTTAGTTTATCGGTAATTGTTTCACATTAAGCCACACCAACACACTCCACATCTTCGAGTAATACAGCTGATAGTGGTGCAGCAACAACAGCTGTGGTGCAGCTGACCATGGTGCAGCAACAGCTGACCATGGTGCAGCAACAGCTGACCATGGTGCAGCAACAGCTGACCATGGTGCAGCAACAGCTGACCATGGTGCAGCAGCAGCAGCTGTGGTGCAGCAACAGCTGACTGGTCCAATTTATCAGCTGACCGTGGTGCAGCAGCAGATGACTGTGGCACGATAGTATCACCCTTTTTACCACAGGGTTGGCACTAGAAGCTTTCTTTGGGCCCATGGTGGCTTATTTAGCAGTTACAAGCACTATAAATAATGGAATAATACAAAATGTATCAAATGTATGCACGCAACCGGCCACCCTGGCTTGTAAATAATGACGGCAAGGCAGGCGCTCAGGCTGGACGGACAGGTTTGGGACGAGTCATGTTCAGAAACAGCTGATGGTGCAACAGCAGCTGACCGTGGTTCAGCAACAGCTGACTGGTCCAGCAACAGCTGACTGGTCCAGCAACAGCTGACTGGTCCAGCAACAGCTGACTGGTCCAGCAACAGCTGACTGGTCCAGCAACAGCTGACTGGTCCAGCAACAGCTGACTGGTCCAGCAACAGCTGACTGGTCCAGCAACAGCTGACTGGTCCAGCAACAGCTGAACGTGGTCCAGCAACAGCTGCTGAACGTGGTCCAGCAACAGCTGCTGAACGTGGTCCAGCAACAGCAGCTGAACGTGGTCCAGCAACAGCAGCTGAACGTGGTCCAGCAACAGCAGCTGAACGTGGTCCAGCAACAGCAGCTGAACGTGGTCCAGCAACAGCAGCTGAACGTGGTCCAGCAACAGCAGCTGAACGTGGTCCAGCAACAGCAGCTGAACGTGGTCCAGCAACAGCAGCTGAACGTGGTCCAGCAACAGCAGCTGAACGTGGTCCAGCAACAGCAGCGAACGTGGTCCAGCAGCAGCAGCTGAACGTGGTCCAGCAGCACATGACGGAGCGCAGCAAGTGACGTGGTCCAGCCAGCAGCAGCTGAACGTGGTCCAGCAGCAGCAGCTGAACGTGGTCCGCACTGACAGGTCACAGCAGCTGAACGTGGTGCAGCAGCGAAGTGGATGCAGCAGCTGAACGTGGTGCCGCAACAGCAGCTGAACGGTGGCAGCAACAGGGCAGCAGTGAAACGTGGTGCAGCAGCAGTGAGGTGCAGCAGCATAACGTGGTGCGCTGCGACACGTTTTTTAACGTGTCCAGCAGCAGCTGCTGAACGTGCTCCAAGCAGCTGCTGAACGTGGTCAAAGCAGCAGCAGCTGAACGTGGTGCAGCAGCAGCTGAAGTGGTGCAGCAGCAGCTGAACGTGGTGCAGCAGCGCAGCTGAACGTGGTCCAGCAGCAGCAGCTGAACGTGGTCAGCAGAGCAGCTGAACGTGTGCAGCACAGCAGTGAACGTGTGCAGCAGCAGCAGCTGAAAGTGGTCAGCAGCAGCGCTGAAGGTTGCAGCAGCAAGCTGGAACGTGGTGCCAGCAGCAGCAGCTGAACGTGGTCAGCAGCAGTGAACGTGGTGCAGCAGCAGCTAACGTGTGCAGCAGCTGAACGTGGTGCAGCAGCTGAACGTGGTGCAGCAGCTGAACGTGGTGGCACTGCTGAACGTGGTGGGAGCAGCTGAACGTGGTGCAGCAGCAGATGTAACGTGGTGCAGCAGCAGCTGAACGTGGTGCACAGCAGCTGAACGTGGTGCAGCACATGCATGGGTGCAGCACAGCTGAACGTGGTGCAGCAGAGCCTAACGGGTGCAGCAGCAGCTGC